AAAAAAAAAGGAGGAATAATGTTTAGGCTTGGATTTTGGTTATGTAGCCTTTACTGTTGTTAATGTGAAAATATGTGCTCTTTTTAGAAAAAATTTTTATTTATTTATGTGTGTGTGTGTGTGTGTGTGTGTGGCCAGCTCAGTCCACCAGGGGGCGGGGCTGGCTGGCTTGTGGTGCTGGGGGATTGAACCGTGGTCCCTGTGCTTTGCTGAGCTTGTTCTAAGTAGGTGCTTTAGACCACTGAGCCATCTCACCAGCCCGAAAATATGTGCTCTTGTATGTATCATTCTTTTGTGGTCAACACTGCTGTGGGCTGAAATTTCACACTTCTTGTTATTTGTTAAATCCTGCAATCCTGTGAGCAGGCTTCAGACCACTGTTATTGATCTTTCATTTTATTTTTGAATTCAGTGACTTTTTGATGTGTGTGTATATGACATGCATGACAATCTCTACTGTTCTCTATGTTGTCAACTATATGAAAGTTATGAACATAACACATTTCTTATTTTCTATAAAAATAAAATTAAAAGAAAAACCTACAATCAGTAAAAGCTACTTCATGTAAATGAGCTAACATTTTCTCATGGAGATGTTTATTTGTTGTGTGATCAGCTTGTTCTCTATATCCTCTATTATGTGGGCATATGTATGTAAAGCAAAATAATTTATAAGGAAACCTCTTACCTAATTAGTATAACCAGTGAGGGACCCTGAATCATTGCTTTATTTTTTATTAGAAAGGAAAGTAGCTTGATTAATGCTCCTAATGTTTGAAATACGAAAGGCAACAGTAAAAGCTAACTTCAAAATTAATGACTATACTTTCAAGAAACTCTATTTCAAATATTAATACATCACTTAATTTAATATTTATAGTTTATTCTTATAAATATGCTTTCTTTTTTTGTATTTAGTACAGGGTCTACAGGGTCTCACTATGTAGATTGGACCATAGTGATCCTCCTGTTTGCAGCATCGCAAATGCTGGGATTACAGGCAGGTACCACCCACCCAGTCTCAATCACCGTCTCAGTGAGCCCCCGGGGCGAGGCCGGCACAGCAGACCCTGATGGAACCCCAGCCCCCGTGTCTGCCTAAGCAGGCGCTTTAATCCGCTGAGCTATCTGGCCGGCCCTATAGTTTATTCTTAAAGAACAAGTGCAAATGGTTTAACTTTAAAATCTTGTAAAAATGTAAATTAGTATTTTTTCCAGTTTCTCTGTAAAAAGAACTGGGGAAGGTGTAGCGAAGGTTGTCCCTGAATGTTGAAGGGGGCTTCAAATTTGACGTTTGGGCTGAAGCAGCTTTCTGCTTCCACAGGCATTTCCAATGCTATTTGGTTGTTGTGGTTTTCTTGCTTTTCTACTCACCTGTCTTGGGTCTCCTTTTTTTTTTTTTTTTTTTTCTCAGCAAACTTATCATGAGCCATTAAACCCAAAGCTCAGGCTAACACTGTCCTTATCTGACTCTGACTCTTGGTTTAAGAAAGAACCTTCGTATCCTCTTTGGTTCCTACTAAACAACTCACAAATAGAAAAATTCCTAAAGATCATCTTGGTGAGAGCTTCCCACCACACTTTAAGGAATAAAAGATCAGAAAAATTGAGTTTGCGCAGTAAGGTCAGATGCTTAAGCAAAGGGTTGGCAAGGTAGCTCAGCAGATTAAGCGCTTGCTTTGGCAAGGGCAGGGACCAGGGTTTGGTACCCAGTTCCACATGCTATGCCGGCCCTGCTCCCAGGGTATGCTGAGCCAGCAACAGAGTCTGGCCGTGGTGGTGCACACCTGTAATCCCAGTTCTGGGAGGCTGAAGACAAGAGGAACACTACGAGTCTGAGCTGTGTAGTGAGAAATACATAAACAAAATACCAAATACCAAATACATAAATTAAAAAAAAAATGCTTAAGCAAAAAATAACTTCTTTCTAGCTCCAAGATTGATGTCAACGGCTTTTCATTCTCTGATTACTCAGCATGTTTAACATAATCAGCCTTAGAACAGACACCTAGCCTCTCTTTGGACCAGGGCCGAGGGCGCGCAGCGGGGGGCGTTCTCTCCACTCCTGACTCGCGAGGTGTGTGGTGACCTGGTCCGAGGCGCCAAGGAGAAGAACCTCAAGGTGAAGGGGCCCGTGCGCATGCCCACCAAGACCTTGAGAATCACGACAAGAAAAACGCCTTGTGGGAAGGGATCCAAGACGTGGGATCGCTTCCAGATGAGGATCCACAAACGGCTCATAGATCTGCACAGCCCTTCGGAGATCATGAAGCAAATCACATCCATCAGCAACGAGCCGGGAGTAGAGGTGGAGGTCACCATCGCTGACGCCTGAGCAGCCGGCCTAATAAATTGAGTATCGCTTGTTAAAAAAAAAAAAAAAAAAAAGAACAGATACCTAGGTCACCTTTCACAGAGAAAAGAGGAATGTGAGGTGGTTGACTCAAGCTTCTCTGTGGGCTTGGGGATTTTGCTGAGGCTTAAGTGATAGAGACAGACTCCCCTAAAAATTGTAAAAGTTATACCTGGACCTTTCACCTTGATCAACAAGTCTATTCACTCCCCTCCATGCCCCCGGTACTGGATATTGAACCACGGACCTTGCACACGCTAGGCAAGCGCTTCGTTACTGAGCTACTTCCCACGCCCACATACTGCCTTGTGTATCATGATATTTCAGGTGTGGTGGTACTTGTGACTATTCTACATTCTTTTTCAACTTTTCCTCATCTAAATCGTAAAGCTAGTTTGTGTTTTTGCGTTCTTGTATTAGGCAGACTTCTCATAGTCAGTCCAGTGTTTTTTTTTTTTTTTTTTTGTAATTGACTTAGAAACTGGGGTTGTAGCTCAGTGATAGAGTAGGTGCTTAGCATGCTCAAGGGACCATTTCCAAGCCCTAGTATGAAAGAAGAAAGAAGGAAAGAAAGAAGGAAAGAAAGAAAGAAAGAAAGAAAGAAAGAAAGAAAGGAAGAAAGAAAGAAAGGAAGGAAGGAAGGGAGAAGAAGAAGGAAGGAAGAAAGAAAAAAGAGAGAAAGAAAGAAAAGAGAAAAAAGGAAAGGGGGAGGGAAAAGTAGAAAAAAGTGTAGAAAACTTAAAAACGATAAACCTTGAGAATAGTTATTGAAGTTGGCACTTAGTATTCAGAAACCTCTGTGTTACCTTGGAAAAGCACCAGTTTCCAATGCATTTTCTTAGTTTTAGACATATTAAACATTTTTAAAAAGATTTTTCCAAATCTCCTTCCACGTTAAAAGAGAACCATAAAAAAATGTAAAATCATAGATAAAGAATTCTCACAAGCCAGTTTGCTATTTTGTGGGAAAAAAAAATTAAGAAATGGGAAGAATGACCAAAGACATAGCTCCCCTTTCACACAGAATATTCTACGAATATCTGATAATTAAGAGGAATAACAGGAATCGTTACTACTCACTGTCAAAAACTGTAGGCAGCATAGCCATACTGTGATTCTCTAGGTTTGGAAGCTTAGAAGACTTTGTTAGTGGAAGTGCCCAGATGTGGTTTGAGACACATGTTTTTATATATTAGCAAAATGGACATTTGGAGCTCTGTAATTCTTTGTTGCAGGGGCTGTCTTGCTCCTTGCAGGTCAGTGGTGTCAAACCGAAGGACTGGGATGTTTGTTGTCACTAAAAGTTCTAAAAGTTTCACCATCCCTGGGGAGTCTAGCAACATCAAGAGATCTAGCCTGTTAGAAGCTCAGTTATACAAACAGGAATGTCTTCAGAAAATGCCAATTGTCCCTAGTGAAGGAGGAAGCAAAATCATCCCTCAGTAAGGCCCACCACTCCTAGATGAACAGCTCTTGTTCTGCCCTTAATGGCTTACTCTGTCTTTAAGAATGTGAGAAAAATATTAGGCCCATCACCAAAAGACACCTAGACAACAGGTCTATATTCCTCTTGGATATGTTATAAATGAAGTTTTTTGTTGTTGTTGGGCTGGCTGGGATTGCTCTTGAAATGCTTCCTGGAATGGAGAAGCATAAACATAAAGAGAAACAGATTTTGATTAAAGTGGAAAGAAACACAAATCAAAGTTCAGATCAAAAAGCAAAACCAAAAATTGTCATCCTCACTTTGTTTTTAACATGAGCTTCTTGATTTGTTTTCTTCCAGTCTTTCAAAATAGGAAATTGGAAACTGTAATGTTACTAGATCTCTGATGCTCATTAGTGTTATTTCTGTTTCATATAAAAAAGGTGAGTCTCGGGAAGCAGAGACAACACACTTAAGAATGTTTATGGCAAATGCTATTTAAATTAATGAGGCTTAAAGTAGGATTTCAATGTGAGCTTTTCCTTCGTCGACCTGCTGTTAATGTAGAGCTGTGCATCCTACGATGAGCAAGCCCTTGTGCAGGTGAGCTGGCCTGCTCCGTCTTGTACCCCGGAGTCTGCAGGGATCTGCCTCTGTCACTTCCTTCACCATTTTGCAACTCAGTGCTGAGGTTCAGTTCTTCCTTGTGAAAATGTAAACAACTGTAACACACTGATACAATCACAGTGATGTTGTGATGATTGTATTAGTATCATTGCACTAACACAAAATCCAGCCCCCTCCCTCTTTTCCCTTCTCTTCTACTTGGTTGTGTGGGTCTCAGCCCTTCTTTGTCTACCCAGCCTTCATTTGGAGTACCAGCGCTATATGAAGGCACCAACACCTCTCTAAGGTTCTTACAAAATTAAATTTACATGGCTTGATAAAATTAACTGGGAGCTCTGACTGGCAATTCCTAGCTACTCAAAATTCTTTAAATTTCTAAGTGCTTGGATTTCTATGACTGTGAAAAAAGGAAGCTCTCTGTGAAAGGAATCAGAGCCATTTTAGAGCTGAATTGGGAGTGACGGTAGAGATAGGCGTCTAGTCTCAGGAGGATTCTTTATACCAGTGGTTTCTCAGTATCTTGTAGGAAACCTCATTTCATTTTTGAGCAGTTCCATTGTTGGAAATTTCTGATTCTGCCCCACCCATATCTTTTGAATTTTCTTTTGGAAAAAACCACAAGTTGCATTTCATTCCTTGTTTCTTAATGTGCAACACAGGTATCAGCGAGTCATGGCCCTGTAGCTTTGCTACGCTGAAGAATTTTTGTATGTTAATGTCAAGTAAACAGTAACGAAACTAATTCCAAAACCACTCCATAACCTGAAACCATGTCCTATTTCTCACATTTAGTAATGATTATGTAACTTGGAAGAATACAAATTTCCTAGTGAGCTAAACCTTCTGTGAAAGGCTTTAAAATGAGTATGAACTTTAAATTTCATAATAAAAGATTCAATTGGCTGAGAAAATGAATTCTACTTTGATTTGCCTGTGCTGTATTTTGGATCTGAAGTGCCCCTGAAAGAGCTATGTATTAAAGACTGGGTTGCCAGCCAACATGCAGGGAGGTAGTGGAACCCTTAGGGGTGGGGCATGAAGGGAAGAAGTTTGTCATTGCATGCATTTCCTTGAAAGAGATATGCAGATGCCAGCCATTCTACCTTCTCTCTTTTTGCTTCCCAACTCCTCTGTCACATGTTCCTCCATTGCACTGCTTTACCAAAGCCCCAAAAGTGACAGAGGCAAGCATGCGTGGATGGAAAACTCTGAAAATCAGGGGTCAAATTAAACTTTTCCTGCTCTTAAGTTGTTTATCTCAGGTGTTTTATTGCAGGAATGAGAAATTGACTAACATAGCCTGCAGGGGAAGTTGGACACTGACTAGAGGATATCTGTAAGAATTCATCCTTTTCATCACCTTCTTCCTAAAGAATAAGTATAAACATGCTCCTTGGAGAGCATGAATTGGAACCTCACACATATGTCCAGAAAACAAAAACTAGACTATGTCACCTATGCAACCTGTTCGTTTGACATCTATGGCACCTTCCTATTTGGAGAAGAAAATTTAATTCTGTGCTGAAACCTCAATAATAAAGTTGCTAACATGGGAGAAATCCTGTTATGTGGAATGTTGAACCTTCTAACTTTGAAAGCAGCATTGACTTGTGTTGCACTTTTGTACCCTTCAGTTTTCTTCAGTCCTTTCTCCAGTGCTGTAGGCCTGTCCTTTGAGACTCTTTGCAGCTTCAGCTGAGCAGCCTGGGCTGCCAGCCTAGCTCCCTGACATACTTTCTATCATTCTCTTGTTCAGTCCTGCTCATTAGAATATACTACTCCACCAACGGTGGAATATGCTACAAGATGCTGATCACTAATGAAATCTTCCTGAGGTTTGTTGCAGTTTCCCCTCAGGTGCCAGGGCATTTATACTACCCTTATTGCCAGCCATCACTGGTGAGATTTTAGACAGTTCCTTAACTTCGTATTGCCTCAGTTTTCCTGCCTGTAAAACAGGATGATAATTATCTTTCCATCATAGGTTTATTATGAGAACTACATAAGTTAAATTATGTTAAGCATTAGAACAACACAGACCACAGTAATTGTTCTATATGTTCCTGTAATTATCTTAGAGATGGAACTGTGCTACTATCTCAGTTTTTCATTGTATTTGCTGATCCTGGCTTTTAAAAATCATTATAACTTAGTTATTTTTTAACATACTTTAATAATCAAATTTTTTTAGCTATTATGAATAAGATCCACTGCTTTGCTCATTATAAAAGGTCAGAAAGATTTCAGACTACACAAATTCCAGGTTCAATGTCTGTCACATGAATTTGGAGCTTCTGAATCCTTCAGGGTGTGTGTGTGTGTGTGTGTGTGTGTGTGTGTGTGTGTGTATTACACAAAAGTATGCCAGAGATGGATCCAGCTGGTCTGGACTGCCCATTCTTCTGTCATTACTTTACATAATGAAACCGTGTGATTTCTTTCATCATGTGCAGCTGGTACCACCTGGCCTGCTTTTAATGGATGCCAGGCCCAGAAATGATGAAAGGCTTTGGCTCTTGCAAATGAGAATATCCCTCCAAATGAGCTGAATGTTCACCATGGAGGCAGGGCAGGAGAGATCATGAATCTTGTTTTCTTTGTCTCACTAAGCCGTACTTTTTTGTTGCATTAGTTTTTGCTTAGTTCTATATTTAGGACCTCAAAAAAATTTTACAGGAGTCTTTGCAGTAGTTTCGTCATGATCCTGGTCTTTCTTTTCACCTTTACTTGAACACCTATATGTGTGAGCTATAGATAAATATGTGTGTATGTCTGTGAGACAGATAGCAACACACACACATGCGTGCACACATGTGCATATATCTCTAAATAATTATAGCTTAATATACACAAGACTGAAGGAGTTCAGCCATATTCAAAGGATATAAGGAAATATGGTAAAGCAGTACTTTTTTAAAAAGGAGATTTTAACAAATTTCCATAGATCAGACTTTTGGTAGCTCTG